CTTTCCTTTTCTCCAAATCATTTCACCACAAGTGGGGGTCAATATATCCTGCAACATGAATTCATCCTACACAATCTGCCTCCTCAACTGACTTCCACTACTTCTTCAAGGCAAACGTCTGAGCAAAAAAAAAAAAAAAAAAAAGAAAGAAAGAAAAAAGCCATGGTAGAAAACACATAGCAGGATATACACATAGCATGGCTCTGCTCTGAAATAAAATACACTCAGGCAAAGTTGTGAGAGCTCCCAAGCTAGTGAACTCTATCTCCCCATTGAATTCCATACAAAATTCAGGGATTCACAAAGAGATCCAAAAACCTTGCATGAAAAAGACACTGCAACAAAAAGCTATAAAAGATAAGTAGCTCTAAATGCAACAGACACTGTAACTTCTACAGAGTTCATCCCTTCCCACCTCTCCAGCACAAAATATATTCACCAGCCAAATGTTAACTGAGTCTGAGTTGCGATCATTTCACACCTGGACTATAGCAACGGCATCCTCACCAGTCCCCCGCTTCCACCCACACTCTCCTTGTCTCTCTATACAGAAGCCAGAGTGACTCTTTTAAAATTAAAATCTGTTCATATTCTTCTCTAATGACTTACCATTACCATTTTTGTTCCAAGTAATTGGAACAAAATCCAAACTCTTTCGCCCTAGCTGACAATGCCTACCTGATCATCACCGTCCATACTTTGTGACCTCCTGTGTCACTTGCCCCCAGCTCACTTTGCCACCTGGCCCCTTAGCTGTTCTCACGTAAGTCTCAGGGACTCTGGGACTCTGCCCTTGCTGTTTCCTGTCTGGACTGCTCTGGCCCAAACACCTGCATGGTCTTTGCCCTCATCTGACTTAGCTGTCTGCTCAGCTGTCCCCTCATTAGGGGCCTCTTCCAATCTCCCTGTCTACAATACCACCCCTCCCCACTATCCCCGACACTTTCTAACCTGTTATATGCCTTGTTTTTCATCTCCTTTATGACCACCAGGTACTTTATCTTTATTTGTTCACTGCCTGCTTTAGCCTCGCCAGCGTGTCAGCTCCCCGAGGCGCCGGGCCTCCGCTCACTCACCGCAGCACCACCAGGGTCTACAACAGAGCCTGGCACACAGACGGCTGCTCAGTAAACGCAAGCTGAATAAACAAATGTGTTCTAAGTGGGCTCCTTCTCTGTGTCAGGCTCTGTAAAGGGCACTGGGATATAAAGATGAATGACGGATAGGGTCCAGTTGTTTCCCTTGAGGAGCTTAAATCTAGTGGTAAAGGAGACATACACAAGGAATAGCACAGAAGGTGATATGAGCTTCAAGTGTTCAAGGGAAACTGTGGAATGCAGTAGCTACAGATGAGGCAGGACAGGTCAGGGCCAGATTATTCAAACCCTGAGCTTCATGCTAAGGAGCTGGACCTCCATCTGAGCACTCAATATACGTCACTAAGTAGGGATGGAAAGAGCTAATAAATCTGAAATTGGAATTGACAGGACTTAGCATCTGTATGAAAGGAACTGAGAAGATCTAGGTTTCTAGGAAATGCCACTGCTCACATAGAAGAATAAAGTGAAAGGAAAAGAAGACAAATCTGGTGTTAGACGAGTTGAGTTTGAGGGTCTATGATCACCATCCTAAGTCATAATGGTTTCTCTGGTGGCTAGAACACCCTTGACACGTAAGTCCTACAATTTTGCTCCTTTACTAGGTGTTTACAACGTCCAACTAGCCACACGTATCACACAGAGGTGTCACGTGTTAGCCGTGATTTCGCCATGCATGAGAAGTCCTTACCAAGTCTGTAAGTTTAACACAGTCTTTATCATGCTTTCTTAAAACAAGGGATACCTGTTTTGCAGTGAAGTCTGACACAAATGCAGAGATTTCCCAGGAATTTTTCCTAGTCAGTGGCTTGAAAGTCCAATTCTAAATGGGGAGACAACATTATTTACAATTTTAAAAATCAAAAAGTTCTCAAGGACAGGCATTATTTTTGCTTTCCACTTTGTGAAGTCATGGAAATTCCATGTGGATATATGTATATATATGGACATATATACATATAGACATGAGGGAGAGATGTTAAGAATGAGGGGAAGCAAAAAAAATTTCAGCGCGAAAAACAAAACTTACGTTTAACAGTGAAGGACAATTGCATACAACATAAGCATAGACCCACATGTCACCATGTTACAAATCCACATCCAGGTTTCCTAGCGCCTCAAACATCCGGCCAAAGGGGTTGCTGCTGGGAGACATTGCCCGAAATCTAGTGATCTCATTTCTCAGTAAGTCATCCTCTACAGTTTGATTCTACAGCCTCTGAGTCTTCTCTAAAAAGGTGAAAATACAGAAGCAAAAAGGAATGGGTTGATTTTTTAAAGGGCTCCGAGCAGGGATTACTGGTCAAACAGGCTTAACTGCAAGGAGCCGTGTGCAATGTGTCTCCGAAGTAGCAAACCTCCTGGTGGATGCTAAGGAAAAGGGTTGAGACTCAGAAGGGTCAAGCAGAAAAGGAGGGAGAAGTGACTTTTCTGTTCAGCACAGTATTTCATAACCAGAAGTCTCCATTTCCCACCTTCCTGGGTGAATAGAACTAATGTGTTCCGACAGGCAAGTAACTAGAAAGGAGCATCGCTGACCCGAGAGAACATTTCAGTCTTCTCTATAAGAGCTGGGAAAGGCAGACTGGCTACACCCACCGCATCTGTCCCTCCTTCCTCTTACTTGACTGGGGTGCCACACCCATGAAGAGAGGTCTCAAGAGGGCAGAAGGGAAACCAGGGATGTGCCCCAGCGGAAGGACAGGGGGTGGGATGCATAGGATTATCACAACAAGAGGAGGTGTCCATTTACCATGTCACTATCCCGTCAACATGGAAACCGGAAAGAGGATTTTAAAGAATCCTTACTTGCGTGCCTTCTGGACAGGGAAGGAAAAAAAAAAAAAAAAAAAAAAGCTCTGCAGCTAGTAATATTCAAACATAATTGGCTCATTCAATCATGTTTAAAATAAAATAAAGCCAAGCTGTCTAGAACAACAGAATTCATCTACTCTTAGAGGCTCTTATTTTATCTGTGAGAAAACCAGGTTCCTGAGGTTGAGTCACCTACAGCACCCAGCATGTTAGGGCAATGGCTGGGGCGGGAATCCAGGCCGCCCTGCGTCCCAGCACAGGGTTACCTTTGTCCAAGGCAGAAAATCAGCTGGTTCAGTGCTACTGAATAATGTAAGTATACAAATGACTACAGTATTGGCAGTAAGTACCAGTATAAGACGAAATTACAAAGCTTAAAGCAAAAACAGATATGAGGAAAAGTACCTGCTGAGAGAAATCTAAACAGTAATATACTGTAAAGAAGTTAGCCCTATTGTTAGGACATTTTTTTAGAACAAGAATAAATTATTTAAAAGTCTCAGTGTCGTGAAAGATTTGGACTCATACACGGTTTAATTTAACCAAAGTTATATTCTGGGTCAGTAAATTATTTGTTTGCATGTAAAAATTATGATGAAAAATCAGAAAAAAACTCCCATTAGCAAAACAACAAACATTAGGACAAACTGTAATACATAATTTAGTTGTCTTTGACTCTTTAAAGAAAAAATACTGGCATTTTTTCTAATTTGCTTTTAGAAAAAAGAAGTTTAGAAGTTAAAAGTTGAAAAGTTAAAAACAGAAACTAAAGTTTGGCAGCCAAAAGAATGTAATTAATAAATTTGAAGCATCTCATATTCTAAAGCTTATTCCTACTTACTTAGCCTCTTGAAACTAAACCAAACCAAAAACAGTCTTCCATCAAATCAAATGCAGCCCAGGCCATCATTTCTATTTCAAATTCAGCTAAAACTCTAGGATTGCCATACCAGCCCCAAAATAAACACTGGCCACTTAAACAACTTCCTTTACACAAATTAAGTAAGAGAGTTCTGGCAGAGCCAGGAATTGCTCTTGTTTCCGTTTGCAGATACGTAATTTATATGGTGAGAAAACACAGTCCTTATGAACATACCAGGAAAATACTCATCATTTCTGGCAGATCAAGTTCAGCATAAACTCTGTCTGCATTTTGTTTTCCAGATTTAAGGTTATTTCCTTAATACTCAACCATACTATGTATAGGTCATAAAAAACAGTCCACTACAGGGAAACTCAGTGCCTTAACAAACCAGTTTCCAACTCCGAAGCATGGAAGCTATAAATGTGTTCCAGTAACAGGGAAATCAGACACCAATGATGAGGGTGCATGGGTGTTTTGTTTGCTACGCACCCCAAGCAAACAGCTTGCCTGAGGGGATCTATGCTGGGTTTAGAGCTAGGGACACGAAAGCCACTTTAGATCCACTGGAAACTAAAAGAAGGTGCTCATTAAACTTTGAGAAATTTGAATGGAGTGACCACACACTGCTCTCTAGTTGCCACACATTCTAGATAGTGAAAAGCCACGAGGTTCGCTTGCACTGCACCGGCCTGAACAAAGTCATTCCCCGAGGGTATTGTTTTCCCAACAGCGGCAAGCCACTCTGGAATAGCTGTTCTGAATTCTATGTGTGAAACGTCCTTAAATACGTATTGCTAAGGATCCAGATGTCCGACTCTGCCGGAGAAAAGCTAGAGAGCCATTCGTGGTGCTTAGGCCAACTGTCCACAATTACTGATGGGTTACCACCACCAACAGTGGATGGCTTATCTGTGGTTCCTCAGCCTATATATACTCTCCGAAGGTGTCTAAGGATTTTCTTTCCTGTGAAATGAAAACAGAATAACAGCATCTCTCACAATCCTGTTCACCATTCTGTACCAATCTTGTACGAAACAGGCAATAAATGTGGCATGTTCTTAAAGCTGCCAGAGCTTTAGTTGGGTATATGATTTAAAAAACAGTGGGGGAATTATATGCTTTGATTCCACTGCCTCATAAATTTCATTTCCAAATAATGAGTATTGAACTTCTGAAGGGCAAACTCCTCCATCGCTAAAGCGCAGAGCTTCCGCTTTACTTACTTGTATTTTAAGAGCAGCCACTGAATTAACCAGAGTCCTACAAGGATCATGCCGTTAATTTCACAAATAGAAAAAGCCCACTGCACCCGGTTAAAATGGTCAAAAAATGTGTCCGGTAGTGGAGGCTGCTTCTCCTTAGGAGGTACTCGTTCATGGACGACCGAGATCATCACTGTGGTGAGAACAAAACAGGAAAGTGCATAAAGAAAGGCCAGAAAAGTCTTGCCCCACTCCATGGGGTACTGGGAGCGCTCCAGTTCTGGCATGGGGATCTTTATCATCTCCTTCCTATACCCATTTGGCATCCCGTTGGGTTTGACCTTGATGCTGAAGCTGCCGTCAGGTGTAGGGGCGCCTGTGCCAATGCTCAGGTGCCCGTTGGCATGGCCATTCTTGTGTTCTTCCATGTGGTGCTCCATTTTCAGGGTCTCTATCATGTCCAAGAGCCGCTGCCCGTTGTCAGAGGAGACTCGGCACAAGGGGGGTTTTGTGAAATCCTCCAGGGTTAGGTTGATCAAGTCCCGGCCCGTGAAATGCTCCAGAGGCTCGCAGTATTCTGGCATAGCATTCTCCAGCAGCCAGTCTGCCACCTGCTTGGGTGACCAATAAACCACCTCCTTCATTGTACTGGCAGACAGCAAGCAGCCCCCAGCTTGCTCTCGGCAGGTCAGCAGTCACCGTTCCTGCAGGGCAGGACGCTGGCCCCCCGCGGCGTGCTCATCCTGTCCGGCCTCATGACAGAGGCGTGGGTGCCAAGCTGGTCAGGGCAGTTTTTAAACGCCTCATGTAGTTGTCCAGGGTTCTTGAGTACCTGAGCGTTCATTCACCTCATTTTCCAACAAGATTCTTCCTTCTGTGGGAACAAGAGAAAAAGTCAAGATATTGGGACTTCCAAATCAATCCCTGCAAAATGCGAAAACTTAATAAGGAAAATGGAAAACCAGTTATTGGTAAAGTCGAGTTTTCAAACATATATTAGTTTAAGGGACCACTGATTCCCTGGCTAGTCTTCCCTGAAAGAGCATTAAAGGGATCTGACAATGGATAAAGTCAAATGGGAAACGTTTTACAGCCTTCTCAATGATGTATTTTCTAAGAAATAATTCAACAGTGCTTTGGACACTGTTCAGCATGGATCAGTGATTCTTTTTGTGCTTCCTGGGATAATCTGAAAGAACACAGCAAATCTGCATAATCTGCCATTCTATCTAGTGAAGAATGTTTTAAAAAACACATAACACAGGAACTTAATAGATACCATAGGAATGTTGAGCTTCAAGATAGTTTGGTCCGACAATTTCATATTCTGTCAAAGAAAAATCAATGCATCCCTTTTCCAAAATGTACTCGGACCCTCACATCTATAAAACAAGTTACAGGGGCCACTGCGTGGGTTGACACACAGGTGGAGTTCTTCTGTGGGCCAGGGTTTCCCCAGCTCTTCTGGGCACCTTTCTACCGCCAGCCCACAGAGTGTTCCGTGGAATCCCACAGTTTTAAAATCAATGATTTGATCCAACGCCCTCATTTATAAACTTGGAAACTAAGTTCCAGGAAGGTCCAGCAATATGCCATGGTCAAGCACAAGCTTGCATCGAAGAGCCGTAAATTTCCAAGTCCTAAAGTTCAATGTACTATTTATTGTGTGGCAATAACCAATTCACATCTGCCGGGGAGATTCAAAAAGGAGGATTGAAAATTTTATAAATGTATGTAAGTGTAAATATACATTTAAATATAAATAATATATCTACTCTTATTTAAACACAACTATGGTTAATGAACATAGCACTGCATAAAACAACTGGGCAACAAAATATCACATATTAATTGCAATTAAACTTGATGACAGGCCTTGGGCCAGTTTCTACTCTTCTCTCACCCATTTTTCTTTGATAAGCATGGCTTACTTTTGTGACAGTCATTTAAAATTAAAAAGCAGGTGAAAGGAATAAAGTTTTGTTACCCCGAAGCTGCCTTTTTAAAGAATATTATTTCTAGGCTGTTTATTAAGAAACAAGACTTTGAATGAACATTTGACCCTCCGCCTAAGAGATTCGGAGAGAGGATCCTGCTTAAGGAATGAACCCTTTGCATGTTTACCTTAGCCTCACTTGAATTAAGTGTGATAATTAGAAAGGCTTCAGGTTTCTGTTAGCTCGCTAGCCCCTGTGTCCCACTGTTTCTGTGTCACGGAGCAAGAATTTGTCTGCCCTGTGTCTTCCCCTCTCAACTATCTGTAAATCGCCCATTCTCACTCCTGAAATAAGACCTGATCTCCCCTACTTTTCTCCTTTGTCCAAAATGTCCTATCTACCCAATGTCACCCCACTGTCTTGGGAGTTTTTATGCCTGTGTGAATTCCCCATGCACATGTAGTAAAAACTTGAGTTTCTCCTGTTAATCTGTCCATTAATGTGATTATTAGCCTAGCCCAGAAGAACTTAGAAGGTGGGAAAAAAATATTGTTTTTAGCTCCCACACAAGAAAAGTTCAAAATAATTCCTTAGCTCTATCACAAAACCTTGTTGATAACGTGAGTAACATGGCCTCTGGCCGAAGACAGACCTTAGTTTAACTCTCAGCGTGTTCCATGCATAACCCATGAGGTGAGCTGCAACTCATCCATCTATAAAATGCGTGTAGTCAAATGTCTCCTGGACACAGTTGTTGTCGGTACTTAAAAGGCCAAACGTGGAAGTCGGTGATGCATAACTTCGCGTTCTGTGGTACCCATATCCTTTTTTCCCTTTCTTACACTTTCTGTCATATGCAACAGCTCCTGTTCGCTAGGTCTCACTATGAAAACGCCCTGCCCAGTAGAGGGCTAACTTCCCCCCCTCCCCCCAAATGATGGATGTTGTATTAACTGCAAAAACACTTGCATGGATTTGCAGGTTTAAGAGCTGGATATTACTGATGGCAGTATTTCCCTAAATGTGTTTTGTAGAATAATAATCTGATAAAATGCTCTATGCTTAAAAAAAAAAAAATCCAAATAAGCCTGGGAACTGCACACTATGATTTCTCCTGACATCAGTACACATCAGCATGTTAAAGCTCCAGGAAACCCTCCAGTAATGAAATATTTCCTAGGATTTCTCAAAGTGACTTCATTAAGGCTCTCACGCCTCCCCCCCGCACTTTCTCCTCCAGTAACTCCTATTAGCTCCCTTTTGGGCACCTGTGGCACAAACAAGACCTGAACTCAGGTCTCCTCATTTCAAAGTCCAAACTCATCTCTGCTGAACCCCCAAATCCAACTGTGGGGTAACAACAGACAGCATGTCTGCTCCCGATGCCCCATTCCAAATAACAACCAGTCACATGGCAGTAAAACTTAAAAGAAATCCCAGACCTTGCAAAAAGATGTGCTGTCCTCTCTTCTGAGCATCCGCAGTGCTGTGTGCCTTCCCTGTGACACTCCCTTGTGGGTACGTGGCTGTCTAGACACCCCCAGGAGCCTACAAGCCACTGCGCAAGGGCTTCAGTCTGAAGCATCCATGTCTCACATTCCCAGGGCTCAGAAGGTGCTCGATCGATATCTGCTCAGTAACTCAGGAAATGTGCCTTACATGGTTCAACGGAAAATAAAGCTGCAGAAAATGCTCTGCTTTAAAATAATCTGCATGGTCGAGAAGAAGCAGGTGGGCATTCTCTGGAGAGAAATTATGAAACCAAAGAGATTCTCTGACTACTTCAGAACCTCTGCAGAGGCACTGAATCGTCACGAGTACCGCCTAGACACTCACACCAAATGGGGGTCCCGCCAGAAGGTCCTGCAGGAAAGGGTACCTCCTGGTGTCACACTCCAGGCTTCTCCCCAAACACTCCTCAGCAGAATTAGGGTAAGAGCCAAGGGAACCCTAAACATCTTGAAGTGGCTATAGAACTCTAAAGAAAAATTCTTGGAATGTGAGGCCCAAGGAAATGAACATGGGCTGTTCATGTAGGTTCTTCATTGTTGGCTTTGTCCAACGCAGGAAGTGCCCCAGAATGGGACACCCACTCAGAACCCCAACGACCAGACCAATGCCAACACGTTATTTCACTTCTCTCTGATGGGGGAACAGTCAGATAATCCTCCCTTAAGACATAATAATCTTTAAAACAGAACCGAAAACCAAGTGGTAGGAAACAATCTGGGCCATCTCTCCCTCACACACATACCCCCCCTCACCTCCACCCAACTCCCCGGCACTGCAAGCCTCCATCCAAATGAAGGGACACTAACCGTGCACAGGCAAGTCCGCAGGCAGTTTCTGATAGCCAGAGGGACTCATAAGAGACAGCAAGAGAAGTCAGTCTCCCGTTACTAACTAGGACAACAAAATCGTCCGCTCCTGAAGAGAGCCCCTGTGCTCCCCCTCACGCTGGAACTCTCCATTTTCTCCTCTTCGACCAGTCCAAGCTGTTCCCTCAGTCTTTAAGGTCCTTCTCTGCAAAGTCTTTCCAGAACACTCCACTTCACCAGCCTTTCCCCTCTGATTTCCTGCACCGCTCCTCTCTGTGACACACAATAGAATTTAACTGTCCTGTGTGCATGGTATGGCAGAAAGAGCATAAGCTGTGTGAACCCGGGAGCCTGCTGCTGAGACCAAACTCAGCTACTTCCCTTCTTCACAAGGTCCTTTAACCTCTGGAAGTCTCAGTTCCTCTGAAAAATAGGGTGACCAACTACCTACCTATCTTCACAGGGGCTGCTACTGCTGTGACACACCAATCATATAAAAGGAATAAAAGACATTAATCACTCCAAGACATATGTCTTGTTCTTTTCCTAATGTCCTGCTTCCTTTCTAATGCCCAGCTGGGTCATAGTGACATGTCAGAAATATTTTCCAAAGCTGCCACGTCCCAATGGCCTTTTTTAAAAGCTCAATCATTATGATACATGAGTACAAACAGCCCTCCAAATTTCATGAGAAAACAACCCTTTATTTTTCAGGCAGGCATTGAAGCTAGAAAGTAAAGACACATATGCTGTTTTCCTGCAGTGGATGCTGTAATGGGGCAAAAGGTTTTGAAAAAGCTCATTTTTATGGAAGTAAACTGTTGGACTGCTACTCAGTGCCTCAAAGGCCACGAGCTAACAGGTGTGGACTTAAGGGACCCCAGAGCCCAGCTGGAGAGGGAGAGGTGAGAAAGTAGCTCTCCCCTGGACTCACACACTCAATTTAGAATATACTTTGGCATTTAGGAAAAAGAAAAGGCAAAGTGTTTTCAAATCTAGACCCAGAAGACTGTACATTAGGCTGGGCTCAGAAAACAGCTACTACTACTATCATCCAGAAAAGCCACCCAGAAGCCATAACTGGGAGAATGTTAACAAATAACACAGCTCAAATCATTAGACATATTTCTCAAACTGGGAAGAAGTAATAAAACAGTAAAAGCTGTATATAAACTCTTTATAATAAAATACTACAGAATTTGAGAGAGAGAAAAGGTGCCAGGACTCTCGATCACCTGGAATTTTTAGACATAAGCCAACTAAAGTCCAGTGAGATTGGGACTTGTCTAAAATCTCATACGTGGCAAAGTGTTGGCCCTGGGGCTGGACAGAAACCCCGAATGCTCCCCAGGGCTCTCCCACTGCCAATATTCAACAGCCTCACAGATATGGGCACATACAAAGGAAAGTCTAAAGGCTTTTTAAAAAAATACGGAGAGCAGGATGACAGCTGTTGGTGGGTGGAGGGGACGGAGCGGGGGGGGGGGGGGGGAGTTAGGAGGAGGAGGGATGGAGCAAAAAGGAGAAAGGACGCATGGACATGGACAACAGTGCGGTGATTGCTGGGGGGAGGGAGGTGCAAGGGGACTACACGGTAATGGGAAAGAATGCAATAAAGA